TAACTGGGGAGCCTGGCAGGTGGCAGTTTTCCAGAGTCCCTTTCCTCCCCCGCCTGGCCTCCCTCTGCTCAGGGGGGTCCCCGCAAACTACCTGCTCCATCAGGCCGCTCCTGCAGACCATCATGCAGGTCCCAGGACTCGTGGGGCTGGCACGCTTCTCAGTCAGGCCGGGCCTGCTCTGTCACCTGAGCGAGATGCCAGCCAGTAATTCTCACGTCTCTAATACGTTTCTTTGCTCTCAGTGTGATGTTCCCTTCTCTTCCTGACGCCCTTTTCCCCTGTAGCCATCCCTTGTGCACAGAGCACTTTTGTTACATGTATTATGTGAAGCATCATGAAGTTTGGATTCTGACTGTTGATGCTTATAATAATAATAATAATACGTTTATTAAGTAAATACAGTAAATTATTTACCTTCAGTAGTTAATTTATTTTCTAATTCAAATTTAACAGTGATTTTTTTTAATTAAAAAAATTTCAAATTAATTTTTTAAAACCTGTGATGTTCCAGGTATTAATTTCCCTGTGGTTTAGGGGCCTGTTAACTTCAGACGAGGAGGGTCAGGGCACCGGGGGTTGCAGTTGGTCCTGTTTCTCTGGTTTTGACACCTGTCTGGGGGGAGGGAAAGTAGTGGTCCCTCCTGAGTAAACTCTCGCTGAATACTTCGCAGGCAGCTGGCCTTTGGTGGTGAGTTGTTGACTCATAAACACTTGTGTATTTTGCTTGTGGAAACGTATTTAATCATTGAAATCCTTCTCCAGCTTTTGCTCAGGCCCATCTCTAATGAAAGTGCCAAGGATATTAAAAAGCCTTTGGTCACTGGCGGCAAAGACCCTTCCGTTACCCAAGGAACTAGTGAGGACCAAGGAAGTGGCCCTTCAGAAGCGAAGCCTGTCGCCTCCGTTTCCAGCACTCAGCTTGTGTACGTGGTGGCGGACCTGGACAGGCTTCAGGGGCAGGTAAGCCGCGACCCTGCAGAACTCCAAGAGCGGGGCTCAGTGTTTTCGCCGGAAGGAGTTACGTGCAAAGATACGAATGATGCCATCTGGCCTCTTGGGGCTTAGAATTGTGGGCCCCTGAGTACCCCCAAGAGAGAGCGTCTGGTCCTGTCCCTTCCCTTCCAGGGGTTTCTGCTGCTT